CCCCCCAGATGAGGCCAGAGCCCAGTTTACACAAGGTGTTCTGGACAGAAGGCTTCACCCAAGGCTGAGCTCGGGTTTAAGCTTCACCCAAGGCTGGAGCCTCGGGTTTAAGATAGCACAGGGAACACTGACTCCTTCCTCAGGATGTTTGGTCTCTCTGCCCAGCAGAACTCCTAAACTAAGCTGGAATATCAGGCTTCAGGAATTACGAACATGTGGATTAAGGGGTACAGGGGAATGTATAGAGAGTACAGAAGCGTAAAGGGAAAAGCAAAAATCATCAGGCATCAATTCCATGTGTCAAAACTACAGTGGGACCCCCCTCCCTAGGGGARTTTGGGGATGGGAGGGTGGTTTTCCCATTGCAGAAGCCTTCCCAGGYGCTTACCCTGGACTGGTACCAGGACTCGGCCTCGGYGCGGCTGCGGTTGGCGATCTCCTCGTACTGCGCCTTCACCTCGGCGATGACGCTCTCCATGTCCARRCTCCGGTTGTTGTCCATGGTCAGCACCACCGAGGTGTCTGAGATCTGGGTCTGCATCTGSGACAGCTCCTGAAAAAGCAGCAAATGTTCTCAGAGTCGCAGGGTGAGACAGAAACTTTGCTAGGGGGATGGAAAGCCCTGGGGTCAGAGGGGAGAGCTGCGTGAACAGGAAGGGTTTTTCCAAAACAGCTTCACGCAGAAATGTGAAATGGAAAAACAACTGAATTATTTAGTGCAACAGAGGGGGAAAATCATCAGCCCTGAGGCTCTGAAATGGGAAAGGAAGGCAAGGGCTGGGAGAAAGATGCAAACGCTGGTGCTCACGGTTTCGTAGAGGGCTCTGAGGAAGTTGATCTCCTCTGTGAGGGAATCCAGACTGGTCTGCAGCCCTGTCTTGTCCAGGTAGGCATTGTCCGCCTCCTGGGAGAGGAAAACACATCACCACAATGAGCTGAGGTTCAGAGAAGGGGTTTTTTGCAGGGCTGGGGGGGCCACATGTGTRGGCACCCACCTTCTTCAGGGTCACAAAATCGCTCTCGACAGCCGTGCGCTTGTTGATCTCCTCTTCATACCTGTGGAATGGAGGTGGAGGGGTGGTCTAGGCTTTTTTAAAAACCATTT